AGAGAGGAAGGGAGAGGGATAGAGAGTTAGAAACATCGATCAGCTGATCAGCTGCCTCCTCTACACCCCCTACTGGGGATGTGCCCCAACCAAGGTACATGCCCTTGACCAGAATCGAACCCGGGACCCTTCAGTTCGAAGGCCGACGCTCTATCCATTGAGCCACACGAGCTAGGGCTGAACTTTTTTAAGTGGACGTGTTTTATGCCTGACCTGTAAATAAATGCCCGCCAAAAATCAGAGGAGCTTGTCCTATTCTGAGATTTCCACATGTAGAGGTGATCCCTGTCCCCTCTAGGGTGATCTAATGAAAAACCCTATGAAATCCCAGGATCAAAGAGAAAAAGGAAGAAGGGAGGGAGGGAGGGAGGGAGGAAGGAAAAAAGAGATAATAACACATTGGTGAAAACCACCATTGCCGGTGATCAGAGGCTGTTTCCTGATGCAGCAGCGCCATCGTGTGGACAGAAGCACCAACTACAACAGCTCTATGTCCTGGAAACGGAGATTTCCCCCCGCCCCCCAGTTATTCTCCTTCCTCCTGACATCCCCGCTCAAGGGCAAGTCAACTTAGACTGAATGATTAGAAATCAAGGGACTCAGCCCTAACCGCTTTGGCTCAGTGGATAGAGCGTCGGCCTGCGGACTGAAAGGTCCCAGGTTCGATTGTGGTCAAGGGCATGTACCTTGGTTGCGGGCACATTCCCAGTAGGGGGTGTGCAGGAGGCAGCTGATGGATGTTTCTCTCATCAGTGTTTCTAACTCTCTATCCCTCTCCTTTCCTCTCTGTAAAAAATCAATAAAATATATTTTTTTAAAAAAATTAAGGGACCGAAAAGGCCTTGCTGGTCAAATGAAAATACTAGTATATTCAGGGGTGAGTGGCAGTTCAGTTTTACTTGAAAGAGTGAGAGCTACCCTTTCAGGAAAATTTTACCCCTTTCTCTGCCTTCTACAGAGCTACTATCTCAATGGGGCCTTTATTATTTTTTTTTAAGGTTCCCCTGAAATGCCTGGACCCGATTCCTTGTGTTTCGGTCAAGATGAAAGCTGATGTTGTCTGCCGATGGAGGCAGCTACCCAGACCCATGCCGTTAGGGTCAGGGGCAGAGTAGGGCTGGACAGAATCACATCAGCCTTGCCTCAGACCAGACCTTAAAAAATACCAACACTGGTTTTCTGGAAACACCAAGGCTGATCCGGTCAAGGGCCAGTGATGCGAGAAGGCCTTTCTTTTTAAATATATTTTATTGATTTTTTACAGAGAGGAAGGGAGAGGGATATAGAGTTAGAAACATCAATGAGAGAGAAACATCGATCATCCGCCTCCTGCACACCTCCTATTGGGGATGTGTCCGCAACCAAGGTACATGCCCTTGACCGGAATCGAATCTGGGACCCTTGAGTCTGCAGGCCGATGCTCTATCCACTGAGCCAAACCGGTCAGGGCGAGAAGGTTTTTCTTAATAGGAGCAGTCTTAGGCCAGCTTTGTGAAATTGTTTGAGTTATATATATATATGTATA